CGCGTTTTTCTGGAGGGACTGACATATGCAGAAATGCTGAGCTGACATTGGCCGGTGTAATAAAAACATTTAATGCCAGACCTTCCCAGATAAAGACAGGAAGTAATGGTAACCCATGTGTTTGTGTTTGTGTCCATTAAGGTTTGAGATGCCCTACAACATCTGGTGTGACGGCTGCAAAAATCACATTGGCATGGGTGAGCTCGAAGAACAACACAACCCGTTCAGGTTCAGTCCCATTCAGCGTCTTTGCATCTCCATGACACGTATGTTCTGCTTGTACAGGGGTCCGTTACAATGCTGAGAAAAAGAAAGTGGGGAACTACTACACCACGCCAATCTACAGGTAAACACAGGCGGACTGGGTTGATTGCTGACGTGAACTTCACACTCTAGATGTGTGGCGCAGTTCACCTCTGACGTACTGATTTTAAAACTTCATCTAAAATGGAAAAAAAATGAGATATTAACTTTTTTTTTTGCCTCCGTAACCAGGTTTAGGATGAAGTGCCATCTGTGTGTCAACTACATTGAGATGCAGACAGATCCGGCAACCTGCGACTATGTGATCGTAAGCGGGGCAAACAGGAAGGAGGAACGCTGGGACATGGCGGAGAACGAGCAGATCCTCACCACAGGTTAGATAAAGGACTTGCTCGGTTCACTGCTTTGTGTCTTGGTGGAGCAGTTCAGACAGCGACACAGAAGGTGCACAGCTCATCTCAAACGGTGGACATGTCTTTAGGCCTTTCTTTTCAGGGTTGATATTATTTTCCACAAGGAGACAGTCTGCTTCTGCCACCAGCGTTTTCTTTTGCATGCCTGTTTGTCGGTACCTGATCAACTCTTACTCTCCTCCGTCCGTCTGTACAGAGCGGACAGAGAAGGAAAAACTGGAGACGGATGCCATGTTCAAACTTGACCACGGTGGGAAAGACAAGGAGAAGCTCAAGAAGGCTCTGCCTTCTCTCTCGGAGATCCAAGACCACCAGTCCGGCTGGAAGGACGATTTCCAGCTTAACAGCACCCTCCGCAGGAAGTTCAGGGTAATGGCCGCTGGTGTTGTTTGCTGTATTAATGCTACCTAACTTGATATTTATCATCAGTTAAAAAGAAAAAGAAGGTTAACTACAATTTTGTCATGTTCCTGTCATGTCAGTACAAACACCAGTGACACAGAATGAGTCCAGAACACAAAGCAATATCCAGAATATGAGTATATGAAGCAGTAATGCCCAGATCAGGTTTCTTTGAGATTGTGTTATGTCACTGCACTGACGGCTCTGCTTTTATTGGTGGTGCAGACAGAGAAGAAAGTTCTGGCTGACCAGGAGGAAAAGGACAACACAGTGAGGATGAGGACCAACCTGTCCATCCCACTGCTGCCAGAGAAGGAGGAGGACAAGAAACTGGCAGCACTGCTCACCTACCAGGCACCCGACTGTAGGTATCAGATATTCTAAAGGAACCAAAAATATCAGGTAATCAGCCAAGTATGAATTCTAATATTAAGACTTCTCCTCTATATCCCCCCTTCTTTCCCAGCCTATGACGACAAGCAGCACAGCAAGCGGAAAGAGATCTCCTCTCGTTCGTGGTTCAACGCCACCTCAGCCCCACCCGGAAGTCCTGCAGGCAGTCTGCTCCATAAGCTGGGCCTGCAGGGGAAAGAAGCGGCAGTGGCCAAAGCCCTGGGCTCCTCGCACAGCCCCCTGATCCGCAAACGCACAGGAGGACTGGGAATCAAAACCGAGCCCTGCGCCACCATCACTCGCAGACATTCATGTGATGGAGAGAAGGTCGCACAGAGAGAAGAAGCCCCAAGTATAGCAGCAGCACAAGTGGGACAGGAGATAGCACAAACAAATGGCGGTGGCTCCAGGGAGACACATGCCAAAACTACAGAAGCAGATAAAGGACGAACTAAAGACTTTGGGAAGGAGAAGGAACCGGAAAGACCTTTAGCAACTATCACATCTCTGGTGGCAGACTACAGTGACTCAGATTCAGACCCTGGACAATGAGGCTGAAGGATGAACTAAATGGGACAGTTTCTGTTCCCAGTGAATGGAAGTCATTAGCAAATGTGTCATTTTGTGAAAGTGAAACACAAAGTGGAGATGCTTTTTTACAGCTGCAGGCATCAGCTATAACTTGTGTTGCTTTTAACTTGTTGAAAAAACAGTAGTGGTTAACGCACCTGTCTGGTTTCATTTCAGTATTCTGAACTCTAAATCAAAATGTGTGGGATAAGATTTTAATTTTAAGCTTTGTAGTCTGCAGAAAGCTCCGTCATTAATGTGTCATATGATAATATATCCTGTTAATAAGGCCTTTGTTCAAACACTGCAGACACTTTAAAATGTTATCTGATGGTATTTTGATTGATTCTCACACGTTTGATCTTACAAACTCTCAGCCACCTTGTAAAATTAAATGCAAAATACTGTATAAAAAACTGTTCAACTGTTGTCGTGTGTTACCTGAACATTACATATTGTTTCAACTGTCTACATCACATCTACATCAGACTCAAAATCAAAGAGCAAAACTGCCAACCATCTTTCAGCAACAGATAATATTATAATATTATATATTATATTATAGAGCAGATAAACTAGTTTGTCCAGCAAAACACATTACAATTTAAAAGTTATGCTCCAGTGTGCTAATTCACCCAAAGACAAAACAAACTCTTTTAACAAGAGTAGCATCTTCTGATGTTAATGATTTCTCCACACTGTGAGTGGTCAAGTAAATTTGGCACATCAAGAGAGAGTGAATACTTTTTATCTTTTTCTAACAGTGCTGTTATTTGGGGAGTTTTTTGTGTTAAAGGGCCCTGCACATCCACACGGGTATTTTCAGTTATTGTTGCTGAGTAGAAATTGGAAAGTTCAAGGCTCAGATGCCATGATGCCACCAGTCTCTACGTTCTTAGAAAAATGGTGAATAATTAAGTTGTCCTATAAGTTACACAAATGTCAATCAAGCGCTGTCTGTACAGACCCACACAGTCCCGAGAGTCATGTGAAACAAGTGACCGGATCTGTGTGGTTGTGATCTGGGTGTTTAGGAGCTTCAAATATTCACAGCATGTCAAATATCTGTTGCTGGAGAATTTATAGAAGTGCAGAAATGCACTGTGGGTAATTTTGTAACAAACATAAAGAATCATTTTAGCTCATAGCTAATAAAGCGTTGGTACTGCCCTCTAGTGGGCATCGTTCTGGTCACAGAAATCTTCATCCTTAAATATGCAGTATGCCAAGCTGCATGGAACGATTTAAGTGCATCAGAAATGAAAGCTTTCCACATTTTGAAGCTCGGGCTCCATCAAGGACCCCCGGTTGTTTGGCAGCAGACGGAGAGCTTGCCGACCCACAATCCCGCTGTGTGTTTTTGTGTCTGGTTGTTGTTATTGATCAGAAACCGTGGCTCCTCCTCTTCCTGTTGAGTGTAGGTTGTCTGATGAGGTAGGAGGGGGGCTTTGGGCTCATATAGTAGTTGACTCTCTCTCTCCTGACCACAGTCCACTGAAGGTCCCAGTCAGTCAACATGGGTCAGTGGACGCTGCACAGCATTTTATTTCTTGTGCTTGTTTGCCACTCCAATGGACAGTTTGACAATATAAGAAGGTAATTTTCTGTTTTCTGCTGACTGTTGGGACCGTTTCTATCTTTGAGGTTGTGTTTACTAATCAAATTGTGTTCTTTACAGACCCCCCTGGCGAGACAGGTATGTATGTGTGTGTGTGCACTGAGGTCATCAGTTGCAACCTAGTTTCTGATAGTTTAAGTTGTTATTTTCTAAATCTTCTCCCCAGATTTACACCAATAGACAGATACTGGGACCTCCATGAGTAAGTAACCAAAGCTGAACTTTATATAAAATGAGATTAACTTTGATTAATTCACCTCTGCTAATTATTAGAGCTTAGTGGTAGCTGACCATCTTTGAGATATCTGATGTTTCCCACTCTTGTCATGGTGGCACATCATTTAAGAAAGATAATGACACTTTCTCCTGTGAAACTCAGAATAATGATTTATTTTTATTGTTAGCCTCTTTAGTTGTAACATATATGATGGGATACACTGTGTTTTCCATGAACAGATTACTACATAAATTCCCTTTTTTCCCTTCCATTAGAGGGTATTTATCCCCACACAAATGTCATTTATTTCCCCCTCTCCTCATGTTAATTTTCATATGTTAATATACTGAAGCTGAATACCCTGTGACTTCTAATGCCATGTTTATTTTATCCCTGCCTTAGTTGGCAGTGCTCTGTCGTGACTGAAATTAATACTCGCCCTGTTTATTTGCAGAATACCAGAGCGGAAGACAGTTAGTACTGCACCAAGGTACATTTGAATGCCCGATCCTACAACCATTGATACAATAATCTAACTGCTACTAGTTAAAGGATTGGTTAAGTTTTACTCCATATATTGTCTTACCTCTATTGTCTACCTCTTTTATTCTTATACATACATCAAACTTTTACAAAAAAGAAATTACAGCTACCTGTTTGATCCTGCCTATAAACTGATTAGGATACTGTAGGAGCTCTGAAATAAAGATTGACTTTATATCCACCTACCTGGGGAATGAATACTTTCCTTTTTGTGGTGTTTTCCTGCAGGTTCACCTTGCTGGCTCCAGACCTTCTGAGGACAGACAGCCAGGAGAACATCTACCTACAGGCAGATGGTGTGTCCAACCCCATCACCGTTTCCATCTCTATCCAGGACTTTGGAAAGACCACGACGCTCCTCGAAGACTCTGTCACACTCAATCTGGAAAATGGATTCTATGTTCTCAAGACTATACAGGTGACTCACCAAAAAAATACTTATTTATAACATGATATTGACTTAATAGGATCATAGGAGCATTATTTAAAAGAGAAACAGTGAGAGGAGAGTCATCCTCATTATGATGCTTTTCCTGATTCTAAACAACGTCCTGTATCCGATCAGCTCCCCTCTGATCGTCTGAACCGCGAAGAGAAGACGAACAAGTTTGTTTATCTGAAGGTGACCTTTGGGGGCTTCCACTCTGAGGAGAGGATACTGATGGTGTCCTTTCACTCTGGATACATCTTCATCCAGACAGACAAGCCCATCTATAACCCTGGAGATACTGGTGAGCACTGAGTAGGCTGATGAAAACTTAAGTTAATGGTACATGAATGACACAAAACAACCACCAAGCATAAGATAAAGATATGAAAGACCACAAGTAGGATTTAAACTGCTGGTCCACCTTGGTTGATGAGGTTTGTATAGGACTGTACTATTGTTAGACTGATGTACAAATCATGAAAATTAAAGTTTGAATAATTTTCTCACTCTCTCTCCGTCTCCAGTTCGGTTCAGAGCCTTTGCGTCCTCTACATCCTTTAAGTCCTTTGACAGCTCTGTCACAATAGATATCCAGGTAAGGAGGATCAATTGGAAGAAATGGAATACGATATTCATAATTATGTTTTCATTAGTGTATAATCACTTGAAAATAAGAACTGTTTTTGTTACATTAGAATGAAGTTGTTTTTATCTACCGAGGCTGTGAGCCACCATGTTCTTGTAGTAGCATACAATCCAAACACTGGCACTAGATAGGGTTGTAGTTTGCTTGGAAGAGGATCATCTGCAACTACACTGCTCGATGCCACTAAATCCTACACACTAGTCCTCTAACTGATTAGTCGATTGACAGAAAATCAATCAGACATTATTTTGATAATCAAGTAATTTAGGCTAGCAAAAACAGTCTCTGAGAATTTGCTCTTCTTATTTATATCACTTCTAAATTAAATTTTTTGGGGTTTTAGATTGTTGGTCGTTGGTAATTGAAACAGGAGCACATAACGCTGCTCACAAGGTAAAAACGATGTGCATAATGCCAAAAGTGAAGATTTTTTCGATCGTCTTCAGGTGCAGTGTCATACGTTTGCAGACACAATGAGTCGTGGGTTTTGATAATATTTCTGTGATATCAGGTTAAATTGTAGGTTATATGTATATGTATATATACCTTTTTTGTTTGTGTGTGTGTTTCAGAATCCAGACGGTGTGGTGGTTAAACAGATCTCCAGGACCAGTGCTCTTGATGGCATCTATGGGGACACTTTAGCTCTCTCCGAATTTGTCAAGTAAGATCGGCAAGCCTTGTCAAGAGACTGCCAGGAGATGGTGTTTATTACTTATCCAGGGACGTTAGCTGAGCACACTACACCCGTGTTTTCTACATTGTTTTTCACGGTTTGAGGTCCGACTGATGCTCGTTTACTTACGCCATCTTGTTGTGCCCTCTTTCTCTGGTTTTCCAACTGGAACCAACCCCTAATAATTGCACAACAGTAGTGGATTAAAACAAGAATTTTCTTTTCCCGATTTTCTCGAAATTCAGTTCAAATTTGGGATACATTCTTGGGATGGCATTGTTGGTCGGCTTCAGCTAATCCACAAGTTTGGTCCAGACGGAAATGTCTCAACTGTTTGATGAACTCCTTTGCAATTCATACTGATCAAAGAAGATTCAAGTGTCATCTGAGGGGTGGGGTAAAATCTTGGCTGACTTGGTGGTCCCCTGTAACACCACTAGCAGGTAAAGTT